GAAATATAATCCAAACTTTATAATTTTATTTATGTACACTAATAGAGATCATATTTTTAATACTATAAGTATATAAAACTTAATGAGAGAAACTAATTACATCATCTTTTCGAATGGTAGAACAAATTGTTACCACTATGTTTGGATAATAACAATTTAAAAGGGAGGAAGGAAGGGGAGGAGAAAGTGCATGGAACTTCATTTTTCCTCCAAATGTCTCCAATTTTGAGAGGGATACTAGGAAAAATGAACCCCTCCGAAAAATGAACCCCTCCCTCTCCCTCCCCTTCCTTCCTTCAGTCCCTTATTTGTCCCCCCTCCCTTTCTCTTTATTTCCTCTTATCCAAACAATGTGCACATGAGTTAATCAATACTACATTATATGGTGATTATGGTACAGATCGTAATTAGCCATGAAACCCGCTGCTTAATCATTAAAATTGAATTATATTCAAAAAGACCCTTCTTCACATCAACAAGAATAATTAAAATTCTCGACAGGATATTATTTTATTTTCGCTTGAATTGATAGAATTGATGAAGCAAAAAATTTCGCCTTCAGATCAACTATGATGTTCAGAGATAAAACTAGTCCCGCAATCTATTGATTTTTGGCTTTTGTACTATTAATTGACGTTTGTACCTTTTTCCTTATATGTTTAATACTTCGTAATTAGTAGTTGATGATTGATAGATATAAGAGTTGTAAAGAATTGTTTATAATTTCATAATTAATTGTTAATTAATAAGCATCAATAATTAATATTTCGCAATTAAGAATTACTTATGGGTAACTCCATTTCTCTTTGTTCTTTAGCCTTTTTTTTTTATAAGTCGGTTCCTTTTTGTACTTTACACTTCTATTTTGATCCTTTTTTATAATGATATTTTATATTTTTTATATTCTCTCTTCTCACGTACAACCACCCGACTTGTTATAATTTATACATTTGTCGGTTGTTGCATCTCTCTCCCCTCCCCCCTTTCTCTCTCCTAATTTAATTTTTTTTATTGAACTTAAGTTTTACCGATTAAAATATACTAATTTTCTATTATATATAAAGGTATTGATTTTTTTTCCAGATTAAATTAAATTATAATTTGAATAAGATAAGATAAGGATTGACCATGATATCATATCCTAATAATTTACTCTTTGATTCTTTCCATGTTTATCATGGTACATAATTTTTATATTATTCTTCCTTAATTAGTTCCTCCCTAATCATGGCCTTGTAATCACTTGTCACCTATTTTAGGTGCATATTACTAGGCTCCTAGCATTGTGTTTAAAAAAAAAAAATAGCTCCTAGCATTGTGTAACCCATTTACCACAAAAAAAAAAAAAAAGAAAAGAAAATAATAATAATAATAATAATTAGTATAAACAATTAATAGTTAAACAACCAACCGCGATGCAAACAAATCCCACAACTAAAACAATCATCGGCCAATTGCCAAACAACACCTTAGAATTGTAAGAGTACATCTCAATAATTCAATGGACATCCATTCAAGGATTGGACCGACTAACCATGACATAAGCCCAAACACTTGTAATCGCAAATTTACCCAATTTCCCTCATCAAAAATCACAATTACACAATAAAATAACAACAAAACATCATGCAAATTACTAAATTATGCAAGTATCAAATTACACTACCCATCATCTTTCCTCTCCCTCAAACAAAACACACACATTCCCCAAATTAGTAAAATATTATTAACACCCACATCATAATTAGCATGACAATTGCCATTGCTTATCCTTGACTAATCACATGTGTCATGTTTTACATGAGCCTTCTTGCATGCTTACTCTATAAATAAATAATTCCTCCTTTTTCTTATTTTTCCTTTCTATTTTTATTTTCTTCCTCACAAAATTCACACTCTTTACTCTCAACTCTGCTGGTTTTCATCCTCCATTTCTAAATTTCAGGTCATTCTTTCTCTCCTCCTCTCTCATTTTCGCTAATTATCTAGCTGCATTTTAGTATTTTTGTTTTAATGATTGAATTAATTTCTTTTTACAGTAAATTTCCCACTTAGATTTCAACTAATTGAGCTGAAAATGTTGGATTTTGTAGCAATTTGAGTAACCCCATTATGATTGTGATTTATGTTGATATTATCGTGTAATTAAACTGCAAAAGTGCCCTTTACATCTGGGAATAGAACCCAGAAAACAGCTATTTTGTTGAAATTATTAAAAAAAAAAAAAAAAAATGTATATATCTTGCTGATTCTCTGGAATTTGTCTGATTACTTTCCAATTTTTCTTTATACGAGTAATATTTTTTTTTCTTTTGATAATGTAACTTAGTAAAATGTGCTATTATTTCTTAATACCAGATACTTGCTTAAATTAATGCGGAGTACTATCTAGAAAGTTGTATGAAGTGAAAAGATTTGTAAGATTCAGAATCTACTCCTTTCAACTTAAATCTCTTGATTTTTAGCATCTGGTTGAATAATATATAGAGGTAAATAGCAAATGTAGTAGCAAAAAACACCCTCGGGTAGTTGTTGGGTGCACCTAGCTCATGGTACACCCGGGTGCACAATAGAGGTTTTATGTACGTGTAGTTAAGTTCGTGGAATTGTTTATAAAAACTTGACAAATTGCTAGAAGTGGATTTGTTCATAACATTGCAATATAGTGTTAATGTATAGTATAGTCCATAATTGACAAATAGATATCTGATATTTGTGCTATCAGTAAGTTGGAATGAATGAATTATATGCTTCGCCCCGGTCCTTACTGATCGGATTCTGTGTTAGTTTGTTGTTTCTGTTGTAAATCATCTATCTACGTATAGCAATACTGTATGATGTGCTTAGTTCGAACATAATTTGTTATTGATTAGACATGAAATTAGTGTTGATAATCCAGGTATCAGCAACGTGATAATCAAGATGAATGCAAATGAGGATTGTTGCTTTCTCCTTTACTTCATCATGGGCACATATTTCGGCCCTGATCTCAAAGGGGAGAAGACCCAAAAGTCGGCGTTACAGAGAATTGCGGAAGATCTTCCTCCCTATACACTGGATCAGTTGGCAGATTCCCACATCAGAACCTCTGAAATCGAGCAAATTTACTATTATCTTGTAAGGAAAGCGGATAGGTCACTCATCGTCAAACTACCTGTGTTGTTACAGTTCATTCAAGGAAATCATCCTTCCCAGGGTGAAGACTTCCTTACACTCTTTCCTTCCCATTTGCATCCTCAAACAGAGTCACTTAACCATAGCAGAATTGTAGCAAGTGTTGCATTTATTCGAAATCCAGCTATCTTTTATATCAAACAGGAGGATATTGAGAGGTTCAAGAAGCTGACAAGACTAGAAGAGCTCTTCATAGAAAACACTGTTGTAAGGCTGCCGAATGGTATATATCTGGAGAAGGGCGATGATGATGACTCTGAAGAGGAGCCCATCTTAAGTTACTTTCGTGAGTGTAAAAGTCCTAAAAGGAAACGTCGATTAGAGGAAATTTTGGAAACTGAGAATCTGAAGTCACCAGTCACTTCAATTGGCTTTTCCACCATCTGGAGTGAGAGATGGGCCTGGTATTGTTATTCTCCCTTCCCAGCCAAGCAGAGAGGAAATGCGTCGCATTGTGGAGATAGCAAGAAACGCATATGCAGTGACTGGAAGTGCAGCAAAGGGTCAGGTGGGATCTGTTATCGGACTGATGGACATTAGTGAATCTGAGGATTCATACCTATTCCGCGTTGCCCTTCCGGGAGTTAAAAGAGAAAACAGTAAGTACCGACTAACACATGATCTTTAATTTACAAATTGTGTGCCTCTACACAACGTCTCAAATTTTCATTGCAGCTGATTATTCATACAGGTGGTTAGTTGGTTTGGTCGGTATTGACTTAGTCAGGTTGTCTACGATCTTGACCCCAGAACTTTTGTTTGAAAACAGATCAGTTAGCAAATTTTAGATTGCACAAGTTGGAGTGTTGGACTAAATTTGTTTCCACCAAAAAACTAAATACTGCTTCAAATTATTTGTGTGCTTAACATTGCTCCTTGATCATGTATATGCAGGAGCATTCCAATGTGAGGTAGACAGCGATGGCAGGGTGGTGATAAAGGGAGAAACAATCACAGGCGAGAAGAGAGTTTACCGCTTTTCACAGACATTCATCATGCAAACACAAAACTTGTGTCCAACAGGACCCTTTTCTGTCTCATTTCAGCTGCCAGGTCCAGTTGATCCCCAAAGATTCAAGGGTAGTTTTGGTTCTGATGCTATCCTCGAGGGTATTGTGATGAAGCAGATGCCTTCAACAAGATTAATCAAATTTGGCGGTGAGCAGTAAAATCTGTTGAGCAAAAATGTTGCATTGCTAGATATTCCCAGTAAGCAATGTATGACTAGTAAGCCATTGTAAATTCCTAGCTGACAGACATCCCACCTTGTGTAAATATTCGTAGCTACTAGCTAATTTCCGTATGACCAGAATGTAACAAGACTGTCAACCTTAACTAATAATTAGTTTGACTTTACCTATGTCCGGTGAATCGGTGATATTAAAAACTAGTGAAATTTAAATTGTGCTGGTAATCTTCTATCAGCAGTTCCACAAAACTAGACCCGGCAAAACTAACCCTGCCTCAGATCACCCAACCCACCCTTGAAACAAAACCGAAATCACAAGAATTAACTTGTTAGACCCAATTCACCCAAACTATACTAAAACTAAATTGAACGACTCCCGCAGTCCTGCTCAAATAATACCTGAACCAATGACACCTCAACTGATACGAAGTACAGCAAGAGCGAGGGAGATTGATATCAGAAACAGAGGGTAGCTACGTAGCTAGTTAACACTAAAATACCAGCTCACATATTTTACTTGAAGATTAACCCATTTCCTACATACTCCCCACGAACATCCGAGGCCAAGTCAGCTTGAGGCACCAGAGAGAGCAACCAAATCACCGAACAGTCCCTGGATTTTTATACAAATAGAAGATAAATCCACATGAACACCAATAACTAAACTGTAAGATAAGTCATGCATTCAACCTTCTAAAAGGCTTCAATGGCAGAGTTTAGATAACTCAAAACAGAACTGTCCTACTTATGCATTCTAATTCGGTAAAGAAGACCAACTAATATCTAGTAGCAGAGCTATTGATGACAGCCATTAAATCAAGTACCTCGCAGTAACAACTGAGGTGAAACAAACTACACAAGGTAACAAAACACAGGTTCTACCAAAGATAAAGCTACTCTGATTATAGAAAACCAAAATGTCGCTCTATCCCCAGCTTGCATTCAGCTTACGCGTCCTCATTCAGCATCCGCGTTCTCATTCCCATCTGCTAAGAGCCAGTAAGAAGAATTGTCTAGTTAGAAGTTCACATATTTGAAAGAAAAATCAATCAGTTAGATAAATTGAACAAGTTATAACATAGTGAAAGACACTTGAATTGGCCAGGGAAAGGAATGTGAGAGGGGGAAGGAAAAAGAGGGCGGGGAGATTGTATAACTTCAGCTAATCTAGGCGTGGGCTACAGAAAATTTGGCTCTTATTGCAAACAAATTTCAATAACTTTAAGAGTATGCAATAAGACACCAATGACTTGTTACAAGACATGGGGTGACTTCTGGTTATTTTTTTTTATTTTTTTATTTATTTTTTTTGAATGGAGGGTGACTTCTGGTTATAAATAAAGGAAATAACCATCTAATGTAAATATTAATTTTATCAAAATTACAAATGAAGTTGCCTAGTTAGTGAGTTGGACAGCTGTAGAAAAAAAAGGCACCTTCAAATAGGATCTCCAAACCAAATCCACACCCCAATTATGAAGGATTACTTTAAAGTGCAACCTTCCAGTCAAAAGGCCACTCTTAAACAGTTTTCACAGCACAGCCCTTTGACCACCAATCTAAAGTGCCATTAACAGTTAAATGACCAATTTTAAGTGTCAATTTTCGAACACCATTCTTAGTCATTTGCATGCAGATAAACTCATAAACGACATTTCGTAAATTTCTACAGTTGAAGGTTTTCGATCAAAGATCCTGAGATCAAAAATATATATATAAATAAATAAAATTCCCAACTTGATGGTGAACATTGTGAACACAGAATGACCTTCTAAACTTCTTCCATCTTTCATTCGTCAAGCATCCAGCTATGTGCAAGTCAACAGTTGGACAATTTGCTATTGAATTAGGAAAAACAATAAGGTGCCAACCTTTACATTGAAGGATGCTAAGCATCAGAAGAAGATTGCTGTCGCTGTGGTGGTTGCTGAGGCCACATTGGCTGACCCATGTATGGCTGAGACTGTGCAGCATATGCATTAGGATTTCCCATCATCACACCTGGAGGTCCAGCCTGAGCTGGATTTTGTGCCGGCGGCATATAGTAGTAGGGAAGTGCATCTGCAGGGCCAGCAACAGGCATGCCTGTTCCTCTTGGGAGAGTGGCAAGCACATCATCCTTCAAATCCTCCCTTGGCACAATGTCCACCAAGAAGTCAAAGATGTCGGTTCTTGTGATCGCTGCTGCAATGTCATTCTTCTGTAAGGTCCTCCTCTTGTTCTCCTCAGTGTGGTTCCATGATCGCAGTGACAGCTCAAGTATAAACATCTCACACGCCCGTGCAAACACAACAGGAGCCTCAGCTGAGATCATCCGGACATCCTCATCAGCCTTCATGATCTTCTTGATCCTCGCCAGGGGAAGGCTGTGGTTCTTAAAATCTGTGACCTTCTCAATATCCTGGTACTGATTCTGCCAGAAGGACTGGAGTTGCTGGTGTAGCTGCTGCTGCTGCTGGTGATGAATCTGCTGGTAAGCAAGCTGGTGCTGAGCCATCTGTGCCCCAGAGGGTTGTGCAGAACCATGGACAGGTGCCCCAGTAACTTGATTTGGTTGGTATGCACTACCATATGGAACTTGACCGGCACCACTCACTGTTCCAACTGCCGGAGCTTGACCATGCCCTTGCTGGTCCATTCTGGAATAATCACAAAGAAACAAACATCATTTAATTTAAACTTTACTCGAAATCTTATTAGGTATTTGTACACTAAAGATCAGAGTGTTTCATAGAGTTCCAAGAAAGAAAAACAATAACGGAAACCAGAATATTAACTGTCAACTGATCAAAATTTCGCAGCAATAATATGGCATTTTTTACATTTGTAATCAACAAGTCGGCTTCACATAGTTTGATGATGAATCACCCGATTGTTTAGCAGACACTATCCATAAGATTCGGAATGATTTTAATTCAAAATTACTCCATGTATTTAGGTACTTGTAAACATGGCATATACATGTATATCTCTATAATTCAAAGCTGAATCACAAAATTCCAATGATAGCATCATAAATGAGAAATGCCAATAAAAATTAATTTCCATGCCCTTGTGTAATCCATCAAATTTTATCCCGACTAGTGTCAGCATAGCAAATCAAGGAACAAAGGATCTTCATACAGAATTATAGAAATGTAATCAACGCATTCAAGATGAAGAGATTAAAAGTCAAATGGCTGAACAAACTGGACATGTGATTGCATCATGGTGAATCACCCAAAGATAACATTGCAAATTCAATTCAAACAAAACAAAGTATGATAACACAATTAAGCAGATAAACAAGAAACGAGACAACACACCTAGGCAATATGAAAGCAAACTTTTGAGCAGAACTCATGAAAGCTAAATCTCTGTACAAAAATGCAGCTGCAAAATACATAAAATAACACAAACCCTACGAAAGACAGTGAATGATCGATCAAAATGCCAGCTAGTTGGTGGGAAAATGGGTTTGGTCCAAATTCTATGATTCTACTCTCACGGCCCAGAAAACAAGCCTACCTCGGCCCATACGGTGAACCTTAATAAAACAAGTCATAGACCAGGGAAGTATAATTAAGACTAATATAATTGAATTTCCGTCAAACAATAACTTAATAAAGAATGAAGATAATGTACTATAAATAGTGTATCTGTGAAAGTATAATCTAAAGCTTGAGCCGCAGATAGGTCGCCTAACAAGCAAGCCAGGGGTGATGAACAACAGGAAAGATAAATTTATGATTTGGATTGAACAACAGCATTCCCTTTACCAATGCTATATAACTAGTTCTTGGTGTTTCCAGGTTGAAGCTATAGTAAGTTTAGAGCCCATCAAACCTCTTTCATTGCCTTCAACTAGAGGCAACTATAATCAAGTAACATCCCATAAAATAATGCAACAAATCCGGAAAACTGGCAGTAATGCAGTAAGTAATTAAACCAAATGAGAAGGTTCACTAAAGCATAAGCCATATGACAATCCCAACAGCATATCCAAGTCCACTTACCAGGTTTCTAGTTCTAATTACATTCATGGGCTGTTACACTTCCTACAAGACATATACTTAAAGTCCCTCCTAGCTATCAAATATAGTAGTCTAACACTCTTACCACCCACTCAAATGTCTCACATCTTTTAAGAGACAATTAAGACACACTGTTGAGAAAGTTCGCTGTCTGGTGGTTGTCGTATTGTTAAAGGAAAGGAGAAATTTACTATAGCAATATTGCAATAAAGAGCAACACATTCAGAGCGGCATTAGATTTTATTCAGGCTTTTGTGAATCAGACATCTGTCACTCTTTCTAGGAATACTGCTTTGTAAGTTTTCCAAAAGGAAAATCTTCATGAAAGCGCCAATTTATTCAAATACTCCTAAGTAAACATGATTTTCACTACATGCCGTTTAATCAATTCGCATTATGGTTCATAATCCTAGAAAGGGGAAGAGCACATCCTAATATATAGATGTAAAGAACTTGAAAATATGTAAAATTCAAAGTTCATATGTTTATCAAGTAATTAAGTTACTCCAAAATCAACAAGATCTAGTATCATGAGAATAGGAATAAATACAAATAACTCATTAACAAGTTATCTTCACCACAGCTACATCCCACAGAAAACAATAGTGCCATGTGGCAAAGAACGTGTACCATGTATGGCTCCCCTACCCCCACCCCCTACATATGGTCAAATTTGTAAACTTTGAACCTTACAAAATCAAATGGAGCAACCAAAATTGCTACCAACAGTCCCAGGATATTATGGAGAAACACCAAGGTAGATTTATCTTCATCATATTACTCCAATTGTCCCTTTTAGTTCTTTAATATCTAGAAAAGTAGAAATACAACCTTGAAGATCCAGTAAGCCAATAACATCAAGAGCACTATTTTATATCATATTTTCCTTCTGTCCACAAATCTTGATTATTTCACATTTCTATTTGTTTGATTGACTGCATCATTATCCTTTCCGAAAGAGTTGTCATTAAGACACTAGGCAAATCTGAGATTAACTGTGTAAAATCAATACATAACAGTCAAGGCTCCAAGAGGCACTTCAACTGGAATATTTCAATAATGATCAAAAGAAGCTTCTTCAGCAAACAAATCCAATTGCATGCTTCACCCTTCAACTCTTCAAGTAACCCTCAATCTACTGATTTACATTCTCATATGCGATCTTAAAATGGCTAAAAATACTGGAATCCTGGTTAAATGACTATGAGCAAAAATCCATGAAAGACAATCCAAATGCATCCAAAGGCAAGGATGAAGTACACATACATCTAAACCAAGTGGGCACTTGGCTCGAAAGAAAACAAACAAAATAACCTACATGGAAAACTTAGATTAATAAATAACTTTGTAGAGTTCAAGATCTAATATTGCCCAAAGGTACTTATCCAAAACAGATTTTTCCAACCTCAAATGTCCAAGTGATCAAATTATTCACAACAATGTTGTGCAATACACTCTTTTCTCTTTTTCACCCAAGGGAAAAATTACTGCTTCAACAACCTTGCTTGAAGCTGTACTAAACTTGATAGTTACAACAAAACTAATTAGACACTCATCCAACTTATAGCTAAGTTTTTCTTCAATATACTGCTATGAACCCACTTCAGTTCAGTGACTTCAGTCTCTCAACATCCGAAAATGCATTTCGATTACTCGTGCTCAAAGATGCCTCACTTTTCTTAATACAACTACGGTGTACTTTGTGATTTCCCCAACTATATATAAATGTAGTCAGCACTTAGCACTCCCCAATACAGTCAACCAATGTGTACCTTTTTTTCCCTTACAAACATCAAGGTTAATTTAGTAAATATATCCAATTCTCAGATTTTTCTTTTTAAGTTCCAAATTCGGAATAAGTTAAAAAAGAAGAATATATAGTTTGAGTGGGCTAACATTCAACAGTGTGTTTGGAATCCAAGCATTAATAAGGAAATCAATGTGAAAGTGAAAAAATCCGAGAATTCTTTAGTTTGACAAAATTTGGGTGTTGAGAAGAAAAATTATGGATAAGTAAAACTGAGCAAGTTCGAGTACCGTAGACCTTCTTATTCTCCGTACTTTGCCAATTTTGTTTTCCATAGTTTTTTACTTCGAAAGTGATTGAAAAAAGGCAGGAAATCAAGCTAATAAATATCTTAACTGATTTAAAACTCTAATATTCTCAACAGATTTCCATACTACAAACAAACCAAACAAGTGAACGTTAAGGATTTTAAAGACAATGTAAGTTAAATTGGACCGTTAGACGCAAGATATTATTGGGGCATACCAAATTAGGTCACAAAAATAATTACTACAGACATAAAAAAAAAAAAAAAAAGTACTCCGTTTATACCCTAGACGACGCCAAAAATGCGAAAAACAAACATACATAGGAACAGTTTTGTAGTAACTAGTTGTATAGAAAGACAAAGACAAAGGCAAATATTGGTTTGGAATTATTAGACATCTCATGAAGGTGGTCCAAAGAAACCCCCCAGCTCACACATACTTAAACACGTTTATTAAGCATTAAACATACAAGGAAAAAGGAGGGTATTCAATAAAAGCTGATTTAACCTTAATTTGACAAGAAAACACAAGGGGAGAGATCGAAATAGTCGAAAATAGAAATAAAATGAATGAAAATTGAACTATATGACCAGCAAACATCAATTTACATTCTGGGAATTTGAGTGGCTACTCGTATAAAGCGTTGAAATTGATTAAAACCATATAATTAAACATCTTTTTTGATTTCGAATAGCCGAAAATTGCAACAAATAACGTTCGCCATGAACCAATTACACCAAAATTATAGGGTCTAAAATTCAAAATTATAATCACTCATAAAATTACAATCCAATAAAATTACATGCAAATCTATACCCATGCAAAATTAAAACAGAGAAATCAAAAAGAATCAAATTACCTTAATAAACGAAAAAAATTAAATTCCCAGTAATTTCCTTCTACTAGTACACCACCACCTGAAATAAGAAACAAGAACACAAATTCAACCGATCAAAAAAATACCATTAATTACATAGAAAATTGAAAAAAAAATTGCATGAGATAAAAAAATCAAGGGGTGCCTAGAATTAAAATCAGAAAATAAAATTCAAATTTTATTTGAAACATTGATCCCATGATTTGGGGAGGTGGGGATATGTAAAAAAATCAAATCTTTACAAAAAAAAAAATCGTTTCTTTTTTCTAAATTTAGGGTTTTGATTTGATTTGGGAAAACCCAGAAAATTAAAAAATCAGAGAAATGAGGAGAGAGAAAGTACACTTGCAGAGGTTTGAAGAACAACGGGCTGCTGCAAACAAATGAATCTTCTCTGTTGTTTTTCTAATTTTTTTTTTTTTTTTTTTTTTTTTGACTTCGGTTTTTTTTTTTCTGTTTGATCAAAGCTGAGAGAAAAGAAAGAAATAAAAGAGAAGTTTGATTCTGTTCTGACTTAGCAATGTCAGAAATAGAAGGGTTTTATATTTTGTTTAAATAAAAATAGGGAAGCCTTTTTGCATTGACTATTTTACCCTTTTAGGAAGTGGAAAAAATAATTAATTAAAAAAAACTTTGGTTTATAAGTTAATAGAATAGAATTAAATTAAATTAAATTAAATGAAAATTGTCTTTTTCTTTCATGTCATTATGTGTCCTACTCTCACTTTACCAACTACAAAAAAAAAATTGAAAGCATTTGCCACCTCCACCCCTTAAAAATAATAATTGACTATAAAACCTAGGTAGGTTATCAATCTATCATTAAGGATGAAGTCATGTACATTCTTGATTGGTTTACTCATGATGATATTTATTTTAGGTAATGTTTGAAATTTAAAGAATGTAATTGTTAAAGTTTTTAGTTGGGAAAGATACTATCACTTTCGCGTAATCTAATCATATGGGCGATTTATTAAGTTTGATAATAGTGACAAAAGAAAAAATAATGATTATTTTTTACGTATTCAGTTTTAAATCTATTTTTGTTAAATTTCAATTAAACTTCTGTATAAATTATTACAAAGTCACAACATTATTAGCCACACCATCTCATTAATCTTGCCAGTTTTTATGTACAATACTTCTTTGTAATCAACCATGTGTAAAACCTAAACCCTAGTGAGGAATGAAACAACACACCTAACAATTCTAACATACAAAGTATAAAATTAGACATTTAGACTTCAAAATTAGAAATACTTTCACATATCTATCACATTGACATGCATACAATGCATCATAATATAGATTAATTAAATGGGAATTTAAGGTAAATTCTTTAATTAACTCCTAGTTTTAGATCAATATTACAAATGGTACATCAATATTACTCCCTCTGTCCTAGATTAAATGACACGTTGGACTTTTTTTCTTTCAAAAAAAAAAATTACACGTTGGACTTTTTTTCACTATTCATATATTAACTTTAACTATAGTTTTTTTTTTTACTAACATAATAAAATAAATTTTATCATAAAATATGTTGTAAGATAAGTATTAATACAAAGTTTCATAATATAACCATTATTATTTTTTTATAATTTTCATTAATATTTAATTATATAAAAATAAGATCAAACTTGTGCATTGACTTGTGTGCAAAGTTTGATTGTGTCAGTTATTATGGTACAGAGAGAGTATCTTTTTAGCTTTTTATATACGTAGTATTAAATACTTAATAGGATTTGCATGAGGCGGATTTTTTTAAAAATTATTGAAAGACGATCAATTTGAAAATAACTTTAACAAATTTTATGGTAACTATTAATTTGTAATAAGTTTGAATGTATTTTAATGTGTATTTTCATAAATACATGTTTTAAAGGCCAATATTATTTATCTAATACATTGTGAGTGTTTTTAAGGTAAAATTTACGTTTAAAAAAAATAAATTTTTATAGTATATGTACGGTAACTTTAACTGCTTATAAGATTAACCCGTCTTACAATAATCTAATGAAAATCTGCCTTATTCAAGAGTTTGTGTTAAATAGTAATATCAAACATTAAATCTTCATCACATAATTTAGAAGTGTATGTCTCAATTAGATTACGATGCACGGTTTTAATAAAAAAAATTATAGTATAGAACTCGTATATACAATGAATCTTTTCAATTTTGTCATAAATTCATTAGAATGAGGTTTCTTAAAAGAAATACAGTTTGAATATTTCAGGAAATTTATGGACGTTTGAATATTAGTGTTAAGGAATTGAGGAGAGGGAATAATAGATCTTTAAATCAAAAGAAAGGAATACAGTTGCTATTCAATTTACTATACTTCGGTTTTCTAGGTTAAAGTTGTTGAAAGAACTTAATTAGCTTGTTTACGAAGTATCACACAAAAGAAAAAAAAAATCCTTTCAAAATAAAATATAATAAAATAAAATAAAGTAAACTATCACAAAAAAATGACATCATCAATGGTTTTAGGCGGGAAAAAATTTCATAAGAAAGTAACACGTATACAGTTTTGAGGAGAGAAGATGTAAATAATGTTTTGTTTTAGTAATAGTTAATAAAATTGGCCCAATGATATCGTTATAAATATGTGAATAAAAGCTGAAACTTGCCTTCAATTTTTTTTTATTTTTTATTTTTTTAATGAAGAAGAGGCACTACAATATTTTGGAATAGAAAGAGTCATTGTAGTTAAAAGACGTAGACAAGAATAATTGATCGCATGACATAGATAACACCTTCTAAAGTTTTAGCCAACTAAAATTATTGGCATCTACAATATGCATTCTAATACTAAGTATGGTAAATTATATGACCTAATGTGCAAATTATAAAATTTCTTATAGTCAAGGGTGATTGATTTAGAGTTTCAAACAAATAACAAAAACTTTTGTATATTACTATATATCGAGGTAACTTTTATTGAATTTAGGGTAACTTTTATCAATAAAGCATAAATAACTTTTATTTACATCAGGGTAACTTATATATATTGGGTAACTTTCATTCATTACTAGCAACTTTTGATCATTTTAAGGTAGCTTTATAGCAGATGTACAATATTTTATTGTACATCCGATTTTTTTAAATGTCTGTCAACAAATAAATAGGGTGGTTCAAAGTAAAATCCAAGATCTCGAGAAGGTAAGATTACAAATATGTGAAGACTCACGTGCATTTGCTCCTTCAAAATTACCTAATTTTCTTTTTTACCCATCAATAACATAATACTAAAACAGACATCAGGAATGACGCGTGTTACTTCCTGGTGTAGTTTTCTCCCTCCAAAACTTATTTCCAAAAAAAAAAAAAGTAATGAAAGATATTCTTAATCATTCTATATATTTTTTTGTTCACTATGTATTTATGGAAAAAACTAAAAATAAAAGATTATAATAGACTTAAATAACTAGACTTTATAGTACTAGATTATATTATAATATAATAATAAAAGGAACTAATTTATCGCATACATTATTTATCGCATTAAACATAGAATGATTGTTTAAATCAATCAACCATAAAAACTTTGATAACTCAATATTATATTTAAAATTGATATATTAAATGTATACATATTTTTCCATCTATATATTTTTGGCATTAATCATACATATAAGTTGCATGAATATGTAACTATCTTTTTTTTATTTTTATTCAATCATAATATTTTTAGATCAAAACTACACTTTTATGAGTAAGCTGTAAGCACATATTAATTCAACTAACTGATACTCTAATAGAAAAATTATCTTAATAATGTACTATTAATATATTTTTTTGAGTATGTGAGTCATATTTTAGTGAATTTTAGTCAAATTTTACATAAGCCTTCTGAAATAACTAATCATTTTCCATATCCTAATATAAGTGATTTTTTTTTCTTTTTTTCTTTTTTTTTTTTTGTAAAAAACCTATATATAGAGTTTTTTTTAGTAAGGCCTTTACTAATTTGAGGTGTATATGATAAAATTGATACGACTCCTTCTAAAATTAACTCAGCCTATATAATGTTAATTGAAAATTCATTCCATAATTTTTGTGTTGGCCATTATTGTAAATTATATACTTCCTCCGTTTCTTTTTAGTTGACACGTTTCTTTAATCACGTTTGTCAATGCACAACTTCAACCATTAATATCTTTAATTACCGATAAACAAAAATTATAAAAAGTTGATATTCTGAAAATATATATCGTGACGAATCTTACAAGATCTCACACGACTATATTTTTCATTACGTATAAAACACAAATCACGGTCAAAGGGGAGTGAGTGAATAGTGCTAAAGTCAAAACGTGTCAACTAAAAGAAACGAAAGTAGTATATAACATGTAATGACGCATTTATTAATATACTAGAGTCCAATTACACTTAATATTTAAATTTATTTTAAATTATCAACAAAATATATATTTTTTTAAACCATGCATCGCACGGGCACTGTACTAGTTCTTTGATACTTTTCTCTCCGTCTTATAACATTAGTATTTATTTGAAATGTTTTCAAGACATACCTTTTAAAGTATTGACCATCGATATCTTTAATTAAACGTTAACCAAAATTATATAAATTGATATTAAAAACTACCCTTTAAAACAAATAATATCTCACATAACTATATTTTTTTGTATATATAATGAGGTTTTTTTGTCAAAGTTTGGCCATAAAATGAAAATAGCCACTATATTATTATGGGATGGAGGGAGTAAAATTCTGATACTGATTTCATGTGTTGTTCAGACCAAAAAAAACTGAGAATTTTCAAAAGAGGATATCTAGCACTCCTAGTACAGCATGATCAGCTAGTAATATAACTCCAGTTGGAATCAATGTCCTTTCCAACTGATGACCTGATAACTTTAATTCATGACCATTCATATGGGTATCAAAGCAAGCTAGCTTCTTTTACTTCCACAACTTGATTCGTGGCACTCCAACTGATTAATCATTGAAGAATCGCAACAGTTAGAATACACTTTACAGTTGGAAATAAACTATTAGTCATATTAGTTAGGGAACTAATAGGGGACAGTTAGAATGCAGATAGGTGCATAAACTGTTAAGCAAACTGGTTTAAGTATAATTAGCTCATGCAACAAGGGTATAAGTGGTCTGGACTCTGGATAAGTCTCAATATTTTGACCTCTGAGAAAAGATTTCATTTCACAAATCACTAGTTTTACAGTTACAGTGGGAAAATAGATGACAGTCCCCCAGCATTTAACCCCGTTCCGGCCAACAAAAATGAGCCAGAACCCTTACGAACCACACCCCCCCCCCCCCCCCCCCCCCTTCTGGACAGCCTGAAGTTACTACCCCACTCCATTGTCCCCAATCCAGGTAAACCTTTACATAGTCGTGACAGTTTACATCCCAAAAGAATCAACTCAAGTTGCGTAATATACAGTACGTGTATTTTACTTACAGTTAACATCATCTGAGCTCCCAAATGCCAGGAAGAAGGAAGCCTTTATACTCTAATAAGCAAGCATCTATCAATTTTTTCCACAGATTGATCACTGCAGTGGAAGAATATTTGATTTCCTTCGAATCTGATGAAGGCCAAAACCAGTGACCTTGCTTCTCTGTTGCTCCAAACTCTGAAAGCAGATTATGCACAAACAAAGAGCGTATAATGGAAACTGATCTAATAATCAGAGTTATCACTACACCCCATATTACTGCGTAGTGCCTTACCTGGCACTAGCAAGTTTAGGAAAGAAGAATATTTGGCCCCCTGTATCATCCAAGTGGTCTTTGTAAGTTGATCAGGCAGTAAACTTGGCTATGACAAGGCTCACAAAGATGAAGAGAACATAGAGGCCAACAAGACAGAAACCCCAGAACCTTGGAACCCGGAATCTCGACCAAGTTACAACTAGAAGTGATCCCATCAAGCTCAAAAATAAAAATACAAATGCTATCACAATGCTGACATGGAAATGGAGCACATATGGTTCAGGATAGAACTTGGCTGTCTGTATCATTAAAGCCGTGCCAAGCCCAATAAGCATGTTAAACATTGGGCCCGCAAAGCATCCAGCCATGGCCAATGCAGGCTGGCCTGCTTTAGCAACTGCCACATCAGCAACAAGATCGCCAATTGAGTTCCCCCATGCAAGCACTGTTAGCCCAAGAATTGAGGGTGGCAAATTCAGAATCTTCCCTAATGCTCCTAGACAGTTGAGTAGTTCTCCAGCTACATTGGATATCCAGAAGACACTCATCACAAACGCAACTAGCACAACATGGATTTGCTCGGTCTTGGGAGGTTCCTTTTCAACGATGTAGTGGAGTATTGCAAGAGAAGAGCTTGAGAAGAGTATCACTGACCATAGAGGAAGATGCATATGTGGAATCAAAAATATAACAGGATGTGACATGGGCATAAATGATTTGCAAGAGTAAAGAAGCGCAAGGGGACAAAGAGCAATATTTGCTGACTGGTAAAACCGGCTCCACTCGGATGGCGAAGTCTGGGGAATAGTCAGCTTCAGAAGCAGAGAGACTGGAGCCTCCCATATCTTTGAGATCTAAGCATAACAGAGAGAAAACTGGTATTAAACAATGAAGCTAGTTCAAACAAATAGAAAGAGTTGATAAGGGCAAAGATGGAATTATAAATTGACTCACCAACAGTCAACAAAGGACAGATTAAAAAAAGAAGGGAGGGGTACTTCGCAATCACATACTTTGCAAAGTATCAAAGAAAGACAATCGTTACACATTAATTCCATGCATCAACCACATTGAGATAACATTAAGGGAAAACGACAAATTAGTTTAAAAAGTTTGCTCATAAAAGTAATTCAGATGGTGGATTCCTATTTATACTATGAAAATTTGTTAAGAAGGGCCTTGACCTTTTGTGAGAAAGGTCCTTTAATAATAATAATAATAAATAAATTATAGGTGGCATATTAGGACCTTAAATGAAAATTTTGTTGTAAAAAGAGGCCTTTTGCCAGATTCCAACCTTTGACCATCATATTCCAACATTGACCATCACGTGATTTGAATTTTACCTCCATTTTTGTTGTTTCTCCTCCCCAACCTTTACACCCACCATCCCACCACCAACCCGCCACCATCTATCCAAATCTTTCCCCTCTCATCATCATCTCTTCCAACTTCTTACTCTATACCATTAAAACTCACCAGTCACCACAAACCAAATAAAATCAACTCCTCTTTTCAATGATGAATTGCAAACATGATATGCGAAAATGCTTAAAATTACATCCAAATGGGGATAATGAGGAGAGGGAATAGGAGAGTTGCGTGGATGGCAGCTTGGCAGTGGCGGGTCGCCAATAGGTGTTAGGTCCGTATATGGTGGTTACGGTGATGTGTTCGAATAGATGAGTAAAGAAAAAGTTACTAGAGAGAGGGGAAAATGGGAAGGGTGTTTGTGGGTGGTGCTTGAATATCTGTGGAGGTCATGGGTTCTGTTGGAGCAGCGACAATTAGTACTAAATGGAGTGATGGAGCAGCTGCTGGTGGGTTCAGATGAGGAAGAGGGAGTAAAGGTAAGGAAGGTAGAAGAGGTGGGGTTGGGTTTTGGTGTGGTTGTGGAGGGCAGTTGGTGGTGGGCAATTGGTGGGATGACAGTGGACATGGAGGTTGGGGAGGTGAGGGATTTTACGAGGCAAATACCAATATCATGTGAAGTCAAAGCCGGAAAACCAAGTCAAAGCTCAAAATCCGGCTAAAGGTCCCCTTTCACAAAAAAATAATTAGATTAAAAAAAAAATCATTTAAGGTCCTGATTTGCCACTTTTTTACGAAAGAGCCTTTCTCACAAAATGTCGACATAAATGATCCTTTCTGACAAATTATCCTTTAAACTATGGCTCCTTCCACTACGAATCCAATGAACCAGATATACCAACTTTTCCCATGTATTGGGTATTTCTGAAACCATGGTCTAGACTAAGCACATAAATTGACCTACAAAACCCAACATGTAGCTACTTTTCAGCACTCAACACTTATCGCATCTTCTAATCTTAGAGGACAGATTTCCATTCTCCTGAATCAGATTCTGTGGTCATCACCCATCTCAGCTTTCGCACGGTAAGACGGGTAACTAGAAGTGTAAATTGTATCTATACTTTAGTAGATAGAAAATATTAACAAGCCAATTAAATCTGAGTGTAGCAGATGATACTATCAACTCAACAAGAACAGAGTTTTCACTCCACTATAATTACAAGGATTCCCTAGACGTTATGATATTTCTGACACCCCACCCTTCATTCATCTTGATTTTTTGGTTTGTACCAGAGTCCAGTGGTGTGAATATCTACCATGTTCTCTATCCAGTTAAAATTTTAAAATTAAGCAGCTGTTTTAGCCTCAGAAACACACCAACTTTACTTACTATGAACCTGGTAATCACTCAAAGCCATAACATGCTTACAAGTTGCTCTAGTCCCAAACAGATGCCAGGAAACAGGCAGAGCAAGATATATTTGAGGTCAAGGTTCTAATCATTCCAAAGATGGCTCATAGGAAGTACTATAATATTCAATATAAGCTATTGTGGAACAAGCTAATGTTTGCATCTTTAAAACAAGGAAACAAACAACTGCCAAAGTAAAGCAAGCAGCAGCAACATGATATGTTATAGTCAAGCAAAAAACAAATGCAATCAAATCACGCATAATATGCGAAAACTCAAGAAAAAAAAGCTTGCGCTTTCTTTCAGAACACGTTATGCAAAATCATACATACAAGTCATCATTTCGGATAAAATCAGCACAATTTACATGCAACAATTGTATCTACACCGCAACAATATTTGATCCATACATTTTATCAACCTTGAAAGCATTCTAACATTTTTCTAGTTAGTTTGTTCTCTACTTCTATCTAACATAATAAGTATTCTGTTTCCACCAAGCTGAAGCAACAAATATAAACATTTTAAAGCTGAATTTTTTAAAGTGGAATGCCAACTCATTTCAAGATTGCATTTGTTGAGTAATATCCCCAACAATGCTTGTGGAATGCTTTGAAACCATTGAACACATTTGTCCACCTAGTGTGCTTTTGCTCTTTACTCTTTAATAATTACAACTTTTTATATCCCTAATCTAAAGTTACAAATAAGCGCTTAGTCAACTCGAGGTAATGCTACTGGAGTAAGCAATATGAATCTACAGGATCCAGTGGCTACTGCAATCCCTAAATTTTTTTTGTGAGACCATTAATCCAGTTGATGACCTCCATGATTTCCTCCTGCTTTGTGATTTAGAATCAACAGGTTTTATTTGCAAAACATTTGAATAAACTTTTCAAGGTATAAACAACTATGCCAGGGAACTTGATTCAAGCAATAAAAAGGAGTATAATTTATATAAATCATTGCAAGTATAAAACAAAAAAGCATATGGTCAGGGCCTTCAGGCCAGATTTTGGTTAACCAGAATCAGATTAGATGGTCATCAGTCATCTCAATTTAACATTGTAACAAGTAGTATTCCATAATAATCTTAGTCTACATGACAAGAAATGGTACCAAACCCATGATAGGGTACCAAACTACCAAATACCAAGTGAAGAGAATATCCGATGAACAAAAGCAAAGTCACCAGCTCTAATCTTATGACTCCATAAATCCTCAAAGCAGCATTCTTATTTTTATGAACTGCAAGCCATATACCAAAATAGCAGGGTTCCTATCTAAACATAAAAACAGCTACTATAGCTTGAAGCCTTGAAGAACACATCATTTTTTTACTTTTTATTCTTATTCACATACTTGCAGTCTATGAACCCAGTAAACTACTCTACTGGCTACGCTATTCCATATAGCACACTCACTAGTTGGTTGCCCTGATTCTAAACCAGAATCCCAAACAACAAAGACCAAATCAACACTACTCACTGTACTACATAGCTCTAAAACTAGCAACCAAAACAAACCAATACATGCATCTTTAAATTCAGAAACCAGCCAGTTGCTGAAACAATCACTCCCCTAATCCCCTATCCCCTATCCCCCAAATAATTTTTACCATTCATGCATCCTCAACCTTTCTTCTATGAAATGGACAATCCAATCACCATAGGAAATGCAAAGGATCCCGCCTCAAAGCAAAGTAGCAGTAGCATATAAAATTATATTTGCAAGCTCACCACTGATAACACAATAAACCCAACCTTACATAATCTATCAACACTAAAGACTAAACAAACCAAACTCAAGCTTCTTCTCAGTCAAATGTTGCAAAATCATCTACATACTAACATACATATATTTCAGATATGTACTATAGCTTGAAGCATTGAAAAACAAATCAATTTTGACCTTTTATTCTGATTCACGTACTTGCATCCTACGAACCCAGTAAACTACCCTACTAGCTACGCTATTCCAAATAGCACACTCGCTAGTTGCCCTGACTTGTCTAAACCAGGATCCCTAACAACAAAGACCAAATCAACACTACTTGTATTCGATATACTACACAGTTAGTTCTAAAACTAGCAACCAAAACAAGCCAATATACACATCTTTACAATCAGAAACCAGCCGATTGCTGAAACAACCCCCTCACCCCCCACCTACCACCACTCCACGCTGTCCACCGCCATCCGTATATTTCCTCTCCACACATCCCCAACCGTTCATATATGAATAAGTTAGTCCATTTTCCAACAGAAATGGAAAGGATCCCACCTCGAAGCAAAGCAGCAGCATCACATTAAACTATGTTTGAAAGTTCACCGGCAATACTTGATCAGGTAAATAACAGAAACAACAATTACGCATTATATATCAACAACTCAGCAAGCCAAACTTAATCTTCGTCTCAAACAAATGTTGCAAAATCATCTACATACAAATAATTCAGGTAAATACAATGAGATTCCCAGCCATCAAAGTTCATTCTAATTCAATCATAAGCAGCAATGTAAAGTAAAAAAATCAAAATCATATACCTTCTTCAAATCTGGAAAAACCCCAGAATGAATTTCATGAATATGACGACCACCCTTTTCAGATTGCGTCATTTCGACACTTTTTTGCGCCTCAAAATCAACAATTTTACTCCCCCTTCCAAAATCCATCCAAAAAACAAACCCAACGAAAAACAAATAAAACACCACAAATCCAAAAGCCTGCCAAAAATACAACTCCCCACTTAAATACACATAAAACAGAAGAAACGCAGCCATCAAATAGAACAACACATCCCTCACAAACGACGACGGATCAACACAAAACGGCGCCGCATAGATCCCAACAAACCCCACAACAAAAGCCGACACAAAAGTTCCCGCCGACAAAATTGCCCCAAACCCAGTTCGAGTTTCGCCGCCGGCAACGGCGGCAACCGAGGCGAAGACGTCGGGAGCACCATTTCCGAGAGCTAAGAGCGTTACGGCAGCCATTGAAGGAGAGAGAGAAAGGTGAGAAGAAAGGGTAGTCACGATGATTGAAAACCGAGTTTGGGCGGTTTTGATGAGGATGTAAAAATGGAGTAATAGGGTGAGAAAGAGGATGAGAAGAGAAAAGATGGGGTTGGAAGGGAAGAAGCAGGAATGGAGGGAGAGGTAATTGAGGAATCCGCCATTAATGGAGAGGATTGAACAGCGTTTAGAGGTGGGGATAGAGAGGAGGGATCTGTGAGAAGGGGTGGAAATGGAGGAGAGAGAATATGGGGTTGAGAGGAAGAAGAAGAGGAGAGTGGAGAGGAGGAAGAGGATTAGTGTGGAAGAATGGAGGGTTTGAAGAGAGATTATTGCCATGCCATTAGAGATGAAGCTCCAAAAATGGCGTTTTGAAGGTGGAGAAGTTGCTTTTTTTAGTGGTGAAGTTGACTGTTGGAGTGAAGGGTTTACAGTTGAGATTTCGGGGAATATTTAGGGGGATACAGCTGACTTCTGGCTAGATTTTACGCGTTTGATTTTAAAATTCAATGTCGAGTTTGAACTATGACTCTATGAGTAAAGACGGAGAATCGACTTTGTCACACCCTTAATTGATATAGGCACATCTTCATGTGAGAAGAGCATAAAAACTTATGATGTGTCAAAATCATTTCCCGTAGAGATGATACTTGAGAGTTGAGACTTGACCATCAAGGACCAACATGAAAAAAGCTCAGTACGACAGGGTATGATTTTATTCATGTTGGACCGTGAATTAGACAAGGGTCACTTTTTTTTAATTACAATAAGGTATGGAGAATGGAGTAGACAATCAAATATGCTTCGTATATTTGAGGTAAAAAATGAGAAAATACAAGTATCTCAACATGAGATACATGATATGTATCTCAAAGGAGCAAATTCGTCATTTTTAGTGCATAATTTGGGTGTAATTTTGTCAAAAAAAATCTGTATTTTCAAGCTGTAACAGAAGGCTTCAATGGAGCATTGAAAAACTTCAACCGAAAATGGAAGAATTTCAATGGAGAAATGGAAGAGTTTCAAGGGGCTTCAATGTAGGACGACCTAAACCTTCCCCGTCTGGGTTAACCTTGCCCTTCTTTTCTCCCTTTATAGTTAGGGTTTTCGTTTAATCGGTCGCACGATAATATGGTGGCGACAGTGGTTGTTCACGACCCACTTCTATGGAGGAGGAGGAAGCATGAAGAAGATGAGGATGAAAAAGATGGGGCAGGAAGAAGAAGAAAACATTAAAAAAAAATAGTACAAAAAAAAAAAAAAATCATATAATTCCTCTTATTTACAAATATGCCATTTTGAAATACATCAATGTATCTCATGTTGAGATACTAGGGCTAGCTCGTAAAAATCTTATAAGTAAGTTAAGTCTTGCTTGGTTATTAATTAATACACCTTTGTTACTCGGTATAATTTCAACTCATAAATTGTCAAGTAAAAAACTAAAACTCTAAATTCGAAATCTTCAATGGAGGAGAAAAAGATCACTTACCCTTTGGGATCCATTATGCCCTAAATTTCTCCATTTTTAGTAGGATTTTCGCTTAATTCGGCGACAAAGTGGTCGTTAATGCTAGTGTCTGTGTAAGAGGGAGGAAGATGAAGGTGGATGGGTTTGTAGGAAGATGGTGGTCGATATTCTATTGTGGATCAAAGGATAAAGGAAGAAGAAGGTGGTGGTGGTGGTCAAAGACGGACCCGGGGGGGCTTGCTCGGGCCGTGGCCCTCCCTAGTCCCTATGATAAAAAAAAAAATTAATAATAATAATAAAAAATAAAAATAAAAAAAATTATTAAAAGTCAGGCCCAAATAGCCTATATATAAACACAAATATGCATAAATTTAATTGGGCTATTCTAATATACGTGTGGCATGTTGCCGCCTTCCGCTATTTTATTCCCAACTCCTAAAAGTCTAAAAGCCTAATACCTACAAAGTCTACATTACCTACAACTGCAACTTTTATCAGAATATTATCGCATTGCCCAATCAAGTAAATTTTTTAAAAAATAATTAATTTCTCTCAAAATTTGTGCTGCTCCAGTGCTGCAGTAGTGCTCCTAGGCATGATATTCCATACTTCCATAGTGAAAAAGTTCAATTCATCATCATCCATTACTTTATTTTATAAAATTATAAGGTATGTTCGTTATCTTAACTTCTTTATTACGAATTATCTTAGATGTCTTTAATTTTCCATACGAATTACCTTGATGTCTTTAATTTTCATATATTATACTTGTATGATAAATCAATTTTTAACATTGAATTAGTGAAAAGAAGAGTGTGTCAATAAAAATATAAAATAAATAAAAAGTTAAAAGTAATTTTTTATAACACGTAAAATCAACAAATTATATTATTTATTATTGGCCTAATCGGACCATTTGTAATAATATATGGCTGGTAAATGGGCTATGGAGGATTTGTAAAACCCGTAAAGTTCTAAAACCTTACTAACATTGATTTGAAATTACTTCAAGATTCTCTTGTATTATACAGTTTTTTTTGTGTCCTAATTTTAGTAGTTTTTTACTTCTTTGATTTCATTAACAAAATCACAAAATATACACAAATATTACTACCGAATATGAAGAATACCTTATTAAAAAGTTTTAATGGTAAATCAATAGTAGACTAAAAAAAATTCAATGATACATAGTCATATTTATAATTAAAATTACGTTGTTATTCGTATAGGAGTAAAATTCTATTGTTAATTGGATATTCATATTAATGATAATATGTGGTGTGTTGCTATTAGTAAAATTCTATTGTCAATAAAAAGATAAAAAAAAAATTCAAAAGAATTATAAATTATTATATGTATACTTTTTTATCCTCACAATAATACATATTTGTCGCCTACGTGGCGCGACGCTTGGCGAAAAACTGAAATGCCAAGTGTCGCTATCTAGTAGCCTGGCTGCGAGACCGACTTTATTTATTAGTGATATATGATATCTTGCTCGAGTTAATATAGATTAGGTATATCTCGATACTATGACCAAATGAGCTAGTCAACTTATATTTTATAGCCTTTTATAATCATAGCTGCTTGCGAGGGGGTGTTAATGGACAGGAAAACCTAATAAGTTTAGAGTTATGGTCACAATATACATGTACACACTTTCCTCTCTTCTCTTCTTTAACCTAACTTGTCTATCGACCACCCACTATCAACATGTAATCCACATCTAACCTTTTACAAATTGAGTCGCTAATGACCGTCATTCGTCCAATAACCTGGACTTTGTTTTTTTTTTTTTTTTTTTTTTTTTTTTTTTTTAGGGGAGGGCTTTGGTTTGTAAGCACCGCAATGTGTGAAGCGTTTTGCATGGTTTTTGGTAAATTAAATTGGGCTAGGAACCTTAGGAAATTTCTAGTTAAGAACCCTATTGATCCTAGTGGCTTAACTGGATTTAATTAACCGAAAGGTTCATTGCGAATAATTTGTTGTAATTGAAAAGCATGATCAGCCTTTAAGTGGTGAAGAAAAATGTCAATTGGCCCAATACTCATAAACCCATCGCTAAAACATGCTGCACAAGTTCATTTATGATAGGCTGCCAGCCTACCACATGAGATAGCCCAAATGTACAAAAGCCCATAAATTCTGCTAGCAGTCCATAGAGCTAAGTTGAGCCCAAACTTTGAAAATTCGTGTGAGTAGATCCATCGCATGATTCACCACTACGCGTTCCTACTTTTAAGATTTGTAACATTGATTTGATTATCTACTTTGGCTTGATTACTAGAAATACTATTGGATTAGTCATGATGTATATCTTCCTAATACAGAGTACTGTATTTTTTATAAATTAGACTAATATAAAATTAATGATGTTAGTGGTCAAAGTTATGCATCAACACATGTATTAGTCAAAGTGATGCATTTATTTAGATTCGAAAGGAGTGTATAAGTTGAGTTTAATTTGAACTTGGACAATTTTTAAGTTCAATTGAGATTGCACTTATTAAGAGCTCATCAATCTTATAAGTAACGAGTAGCAATTATCTTTTGGTTATTCAATAGAATCAAAACAATACTCCGTACTAACTACATTGTACATATCCACTTACGCAATAATTTTGTAGACTCAAAAACGCATGAAGGAAAATGACACAATAATTCCGACTTTAAAACTCCCATATGTGTTTTTGGTCCAAGCTTATCATAATCCAAGACTACTCGCCAATAGATGTTAAACCTCTTGTTTTAATGACAATATATTTAATATTTTATTATTTGGAGTTTGTAAGAAAAAATAATTGGTAGTTGACACTAATGGAACTCCAACCTCAGTGCTTAATAATTGCATGTAAACAAAGTTATCAATTCAACATTACCTTTTCAAACCTTTGACTAACTATGAAAATTAACCACACAAATGTACAACTTCTCATGATGAATTTATGTAACATAAGCCTCATATTTCATGGCGGCAGTTACATACATTAAATTAGAGATTATCATGAAAGTTACCTATAAAAGTTACAACTATCATCATATATTATACAACAATCACACGGCTCTTTGGTGGTAGAAATAGAATGCGAAATATGCCTAACACTAACACCTTCAATCAAATTGGTGGGTCTAGATTTTTTTTTATTTTTTTTGTTCAATTTATTTAAATTTAGCGCATGTAATCATTAATTTTCATATGCATTGCACCTTTTTTTGGTAATATAGATTCTTGTACTATTGTACAACTAAGATGCGATTCAACCCACGACGCGGAAATTATACAAGTCTCAAAGTTTTGATACTCAAATAATTAATTATACCCTATGGTTTGAAAAGCATGGAATTATATTTATACATACCTCCGACAATAACTTGAGGAAACTCAAATGAATATTCAGTTTGTATGGGGATAAATTGCATGCGTTTTTGGGGAGAAATTCAATGAGGTAGTAGTTGTTCTTGTTTTTGTGTACCCCTTCTTTTCGGAAATTAGGGTCAAATATAGTACTTTGTATCTCAATTGCTTGTTATTCCGTATTTTTAATGACTTTTTCGCTGCTTAATGTAACATGCATGTCATAACATTAGTTGATGGTGTGACAGATTCAAATGATCTTAGTGAGACATACTGAAATGTGAGGCAATTTATGTAGATATCGATTCAAATGAGAACCGACAATGTATAACTTGGGATCTTGATAAAATTTTCGACGGTATATATATAAATAAGCTGGAGTTATCAATAAGTTATGACGTTTCTAATCAATGAATCTATAGTAATTTTAAGAAATTATAGAGAGATAAACATAATGGTTGATGAGGTTATTGATTAAATGCATCATCAATCGAGTGTGTAATACACTAATACATAATACCTGTAAGACTATCAAGTTGATGATCGTTTAGCCTAGCTACATATGATGGTAAACTCAATTATAAAACGTAACATACGTGATCATTGTTTTCAAATATCCTAAAACTTTATAGGCAAAACTTGTATCGAGTGAATAATATAATCCCTTGTGAAGGTTTCTGTTTGGGTCCAATTTAGTCCAATTGGGCCTAGTCATT